AGCCCGCCGGTCCAATCACTACAATTAACAAATCTTAGAAACAGTTATTATGTGGGATGTATTAAAATCTAATTGTAATAACACATACCCTGTAAAAAGAAAGTAGTATAAAATTTGGCAACAGGGACTATCAGGGACATCTGAGTACCAGCCTCAGTCTACCCTTCGAATTAAGAAGAAGACAGACAGCAAACACGGGACTTGGATCTGAGGCAAAAATGATTTCCCCACTATACATTTTACATCAGTTTCCTTAGTCTTCTCCTGCGGTTCTCCCCTCTTCTGTAAAGTTTCCAGCTTATAAGCACAAACAAAACAATGGTAATTTTCTTAGCTTGAATGTCCCTTTATCTTTGATGGTCCCAAATGTGATCCATATGAAAGACTTTTTTCTTGACTGCATGTCCTATCAAATGGAAGATAGTTGTTGAGAGGTGGCTTCTAATGTATCTCAGAAGATGAAGGAGAGATTAAACTGTGGAACCACGGTTATTGACTTTGTGAGGAATTTTCTCACTGGAGGTCCCACAGAGTGTTTGTGGGGGATTATACAATATACCAGTACATAGGATAGGTTTGTGCCCAATAATCCACACTCTGGTAATATTGCACAACAGGAGAGTACTTATGGCTTCACAAATGATTTGCTGTGAGAATCAGTCGATATGCAAAAGGTGTTATGCTCAGTGCCTAAGAACTGTGTTTATCTTTATTAGAATGCATCGATTCTCATCTGTCTGCCTTCTGCTCTTTCAGTTGAAATCTCACAGCATGATTTCTGCGTACCTCAGCAAGGCATTAAGCAGCATTTGAAGATAATTTGCTAAATGCTTATATTACGAATTCTCAGAAATATACATATTATCGTTGGTGTTAATCTGTCCTATATCTTCCATACTCCTTTTTCTCCCCATTCTCATTAGTCCCTTTTCTGCAGAAATGTGATATTTGAATGTAGTGGCAGCTTTACAGCAGTTCTCTAAAAACTCACAGGTGCTCTTCAGGAACATTGAAAATGGAAAATCTCACATGGTAAATGAGATGAAATAAAATGGTGCTGTTCTTAAGGTATTGGCCCCAGACATATCCTATTCTGCACTGTCATCTTTAGCTTAGAATCAGAGAACTTGACTGTAGCATTTGCTTCAAAATTCCCCCAGTCATTAGAAACAGGTCCCACTATTCCAATGAGAACTCTGATTCTCCAGGGAGACCCTGCCATAGTATTTGTCCCTGTTGTTGGGAATGAAATGCCCCCTGTATCACCCCAATATGCACTTTCCTTTGGTTTGCCTATCCCCAGCATTAATAACTGATATAATAAATATCTTATTTCTCAGTTATTCATCTTAGTGTACTCTGAAACCATTATGTGATGGAGGAAGGTCATTGGCTAATAAAGAAACTGGCTTGGCCCATTTTATTGGTTAGAACCTAGGTGGGTGGAGTAAACAGAGAGAATGCTGAGAGAAAGAAGCTGAGTCAGGGAGTCGCCATGGTTCTCCCACTCCAGACAGACGCAGGTTAAGATCCTCCCTGGTAAGCCACCTCGTGGGCTACACAGAATATTAGAAATGGGTTAGAACAATATGTAAGAGCTAGCCAATAAGAGGCTGGAACTAATGGGTCAGGTAGTGTTTAAAAAAATACAGTTTCCATGTAATTATTTCTGGGCATAAGCTAGCCATGCGGGCAGCCGGGTGCCGGGGACACACCCTGCCGCTCATAATGCAACAATTATGCACATCCAAAACCTAAATGTTTGTTCATATAGAACACAGTGGGAGCAATAGTCATATGATGAAGTTTCAATTTATTTTGAAACTTATAAGCAGACCAGTAGACATAGGAGCAATAAGGATCCAATGGGAAGTGCTGCAGACAACTGAGAGAATAGAGCCCATAGTGACAATTTCAAGGCACAACAGAATATCATGTTTAGGGAACTTTCTTTATCTCTGTCACTTATGCTTGACCTTTAGTGAGAAAAGCAGTAATTCCTTCTATGGTCAGTTTCTTTTAATATATTTCTCTGGCATTTAAATGCTGGCGCTTAGAAACTAATTGATTACATTTAGATGATTTTTTCTTGGAATGTCCCGAATAGTTTCTGCTCTTCTGTACAATTTTCTCATGGTGATGCAACTCAGAATACTTACAGGAAACAACTCCCTCAAGGAGAAAGGGGATTGATACTCTGTATTGTTGTAAATGAAGAGGAAGGGAGATAGGGTACAGACAGGACTGTTCAGACTCTTCTACAAAAAACAAATGTCTCTGTGTGAATTTTTGAAAAATCCTGTGACTTATGAAAAAAGTTTCAGTGAGTGAGGCATGACATTGAGCAGCTGAGGCAGTTCAGCCTTTCACTTCTGCTCCATGGAGGTTTATGTTATGACTTGTATCACTGTGAGAGGCAACTTTCTAGTCTGTAGACAGAAATAAATTGCAGTGTCTTCAGGCTCAAGGCTGCTGATGGTGAGACTGAAATCTGTTCCAGATCCACTGCCACTGAACCTTGATGGCACTCCATTTTCCAAGTTGGATGCATAGTAGATCAGGGGCTTAGGAGGTCTCTCTGGTTTCTGCTGGTACCAGCTTAAATAATTACTAATATCCTCACTGGACCGGCAACTGAGAGTGACTCTTTCTCCCAGAGATACAGACAGGGAAGATGGCGACTGAGTCATCAGGATGTCACACCTGATACCTAGAAATAGAGACATAATAAATATCTACAGAATTAAGCATCATAGTAGAGGACTACTCCAAATTGCCAGTCAACAATCACCATATAACAGTGAAAATGCCATTTTAGTCTTATTTTACCTGGGAACAAGAGCAAAAAGAGCCCAAGGATCTGAACAGGAGCCCTCATGTCCATATTGGGTACTGACTTCAATGTCAATAGCACAGTGTCTGACTGCTATATGAGGAAGTCCTCAAGGCTGTACAGTGAGTGCATGCAAATCATTGGGAACCAGTTAGTGCTGGGCATAGCTGTAAGGCTTACTTAGTAACTAAGCACAAACACAGCATCTCCAGGTGGTCAAGGTCAAACTCCACATATGCCTACAGAGAATGCAATTCTTTTTTTAAGTTTTAAAATTACAAATGAAAAGTTTCCACAGGCAGCCAAAAGAGCCAGAGGAAGCCCCCACTCTCACTGTTAAGAGTCTCACATGAATATCAAAGTACTCAACCATAGCATACATACAGAGAATCTGTCAGAACCATACAGTCTCCCTGATCTCTGAGTCCCCATAAAACCTGGTTAGTTGATTCTGTGGACCATGTTTTCATACAGTGAACTCTCTGGATCCTCTGGTCTTTCCTCTCCATCCTCTACAGGACTACCAGAACTCTCCCTAATGCTTTGGGACTCTGTATCTGCTAAATTAGTTGCTGAATTAAGATTCTCTGGTCTGTTTGATTTTCTGTGAATTGCAAGAATGGAACAGGTGTTATGCATAAGCACAAGATGGTAAATAGGATTCCCTCTAAAAGTTCACTTAGAGGAAAATCAACTTTCTGTCACCAGAACTAACTAGAGTTGGGCCAGGCCATCCCACATCCCTTGGCTTCTAGACGTTTTCCTGGAAATGTGTGAATACATCATCAGTGAAATTATGATTTCTAAAAGTTCTAATTTATTTCAATTGTTTGGATCCAATATATTTGCAACCTGATACAAGTGGGGGG